ATCAAGGAAGAAAACAAAGGGGACGAATCACAGTAGCAACAATGGTGTCAAAATTCACAAAGTCAAGGGTCAAAGGACTGTGGGTCAGTTACTAAGTTATCATTACCTTTAATGGCCCTCTCGATTTTCACTTTATAAAAAAAAAAAAAGCATAAAATACAAAGATTAAGGATTAATGAAACTATTATTATATGGTGGAGGACTTATTACTTATAGGAAAATACTGAAACGAGTCCTAAACCTGTATTTCCACCAAAAAAAGGTTATTCACACTTTAAATCACACATTTAAGGGAAAAACATTGTATTCATCACACAACTGGCAGCACTGCAATGTTTGCAGTGAAGCTGTAGCTGGCATTTAGTAGCTTAGAACCTGCAATATTTTGATCTTAGCTAGAGGAGGAAATTAAAAGTGAGCAACTGTACCTCCAGCCATATTGAGAACTTGGTCCAAGGCAGGACGGACCTCCTTATCCAACTGATCATGTATTCTTCCACCCAATAATGGACCTATGTCTGTAGAAAACATCAGCATAGACACGTTAGTCCAAGTCACTCTTGTTCCCAGTTTTGTTCTCTAGTAAACCATCTAAACTTGTGTTCTAATGGTTTGAGTATACAAGGCATAACTTCTTCCTTTTTTTGTTTTTAATTTAAAAGCTTAAAATCCTGGCTCTGTTTTTGCAAGTCACAACTTCTAGGAAAGAACTGCCTCCAGAAGAAAGTAGCAGGAATACTCAAGAGATGTTTTTTAAAAGTTGCTACTTTGCCTATGGAGCTAGTTAAGTCACAGTTGTGAAAACAAGTAAAGCAGACACATTAAATTCACATAATAAGCATGCTACACAACTGAGTGTATAAACTTAGTGACTTGTTTGTGTCTACCTAATTTACTATTGGAGAAACAGAGAAGAACTACTTACTATCTAGGTCATAGATGACTTTGTTCTTGGCCGTGGCATACTGGGATATTAGGTATTCAATTTGCTGCATAGAGGAAACACAGAGACGAGCAGAGTCTTAGAAATAGCTGCACAAAAGTACTTTATTGGTCTAGACACCAACAAACTACTTCCGTGTTACACAAAAAAAGGAGAATCTGGTTGGAGTTGGTTTCTTCAGCAATACCACCCATAAGAGTGAGACTGATTGTTGGAGAAATTTCACCGTATGAGAACAATCTTTTCAAAAGCAACTTTGCAGGTGTTGCGTGCACAAAAGGTGAGAAAATTCTCTTTTCCCGTGTGAAAGGATTACACAAAGCCAGCATGACAAGAAACCCCAGTTTCAAGAAAGAAAAAAGAAATAATATGCACACTGATTCACAAGTGTACCCTCAAGGAAAATTCGTAACTGAACCATCTATAATGCTTCACCCCAATTCTTTATGTAACATCGTGTTTCAAATGGAAACTTTCTGCCTCACCATCGGTGTGTCGTTAGCAAAGGTGTGCAGATCCCTCATGTTGCTGTTGACCAGTCTCCGTACGTTCTTCACCTGAGAGCTCAGGTTCTGGTTGGCGGCATACGCACACAGCACTCCAATCCTAATAAAACAGTTGAAACAAGAACACAAACATGTAATCTGCCTGCTGTCGGACATGTCTGAGTGACCCTGCTGCCCCTGTGTCAGTCAAGAGTAAGGCAGGGGCGAGCCATGCAGAGCAGGGTGATGACAAGCCATCAGCAGTAGGGGTCAGTGTGCACCACCACATTCACTTTACTTTGTTTTTGCGACTGCCACTGAGTGCACCTGTAGAGTGCCTTCATTCTTTGAAAGCCAGCATTACATTGGACTATTCTCGTACTCAAGAAAATAAATTTACCTTAAACCCATTTTAATTAACTGTTGCATACAATTTCATTCATTTAATGTAAGTGTTGACATGAAAACACAATTTCCTGTTCATCAACAATGTTTTTAATAGGCTAGAATAAGGTAACATAACAGGCATAGAGGTCTTGTGTAAATGCATCTTTACAATACTGTATGCGTGTGTCATATACTGACATGTTCTGCAGTCTCAAGATCTAAACAACTATTATTTCCCCAAGTAATTTAGAAATAGACTCATAGCTATAAACCCAGGTGTCTTATCTTTATAATCTAAGGTCCCTGGGTTGTAAGCATATTCAAATTGAATGTGAAAACACAGAATCGCATAGAGCAGACCATTAAAGTGAATCTCTTGCATACTTCAAACAGACCTGAGTAGCTTACTACAAGGCTTAATTAGCTTGAACAACATCAAGGGAAAGACAGCCCATAATATTAAGCGGTTTCCATGACTCACTCTCATCCCAGCTGAATTTTCTCCTTCAGCACCTCACAGCTACTGCAGCACTACAGTATGTGCACGTATGTTCTTACTGCTACTGATGTGTGTTATTGAGGTTCGCGCGTGAGCAGCTTAAGGAAAGGCGGTCAAAAAGGGAAAAAAAAAAAGCTTCTCTACAATTGACTCTAAGGATCAAAAACTCCCAAAGTAGAGTTGTATGACACAGTGAATCCCCTTCATGGAAATGCTTCAGTGGAATAAGCAGCTTTATGAATGATGTAAGATGACTGGCAGAGAGGAGTAACAAAAGAACTGACTCAGAAGCTTCTGGGAAGGTTTAGATCAACGGTGTAGAATCGGGGTGCTGTGACTGACTCTATAAAAAAGGCAGGGGTCTTTATGTGTAAGTATGACAACAGGTTGTACGTATGTGACCACAGTGCACCCAGAGATGGGGTTTCTATTGTCTTACTGCTAATGCATGAAGACATTGCTGGGCGCCGTTCTTCTTTACAGAGCAGTAAAGTACAGCCACTGCTGTAATCACAGTTTCCCTTTGTGCATATAATCTCATTTCTATCCTGGATTATGCTGTGGACATTTTGCAACATTAAGCATTGCAGTGTGTTTGCACACTTAGTGTATGCATAAAATGTTTTCTACTTTCAAAAAATGCAGCGCGATTTCCTTCCACTTTGTTAAACGTATGTATTTTTCTTAATTTCTGGCATGGAAATGCAGGGGAAAAAAACGTCTTCAAATATTGTTACACTTTATTCTGTATGCAGACACATGCTTAAGTTTAGGCAGTCTAAGTCAGTACTTGTCAGATATCACAGCATGTAGCCAGCTAAGAGTCAGCATGTTTAGGATTTTTTTCTGGGGTTTAAGTCAGAGGACTGAAGAGTTAATGATTCAATAACAACCTAGTAAAGTTTGAATATTTATAAGCAAGAGGGACAGTTTCACAGATATGCCACAGATACTTTGAGTGGGCCAGTCAAACACCTTGGTTATTTTCTTTTTTTAGACAGTTAGCTGTAAATGTGCTGGTGTTCTTGGGCCAAGAACACCTTTAGCTGTGGTTGAGACTGACTCTAAAATACTTTGGTATACACAGGAGTTCATGTTCAACTCAGTGAATGCAACAAGAGGAACCCAAATCATTATGTGGTATGAGGTATTTGTGCTGATATACTGTGCTTGGTTTTTGCCCAGCGTGGCACTGTGTATTACATTCTTGTCAAAGTCTTTCCATTTGTTCAGATGTAACTTTGCAATCCTTTGCAAACTTGCTACCCTGTTCGCAGGATTCTCTCGACATATATTTGGTTTGTTTCTAAATCAAAATGAATGTAAATATTCACTTGCTGGCATCTGAAGGAAATTCATAATGAACATCTTTCAAGATAAAAAAAAGAGCCTTCTAACAGCATTGTCATGGTCTTTAAAGAACAAATGTGTTATAGGATGTGCTGCCCTCAGGTGAGAAATTCGCTGATCTGCATGGCATCAAGCTGCACCATCTCTAGTGGATGTGTGATAATGTTTGCCATAAATAGTGAGTGTGCCAACAGAGTAAACACTGTCACCGTACAAGTGGCGACTTAATGAGAAACTAGGCCAAACAAGTAGGCTGGGACACAGTGAAGTGGAGCCATCCGTAACCAGGGGAAGATTCAAAATGGCCACTTTCACAACAAAAGCCTTTTGTCAAACACTTTCTCTGCCCTCCCTCTGTATCTTTCTCACTCACACTTCATACATTTGCTTTCCTCTTTCACACACAAATTCACAATCCCGCACTTTTCTTTTCTATGCTTGCTTTTGGTTGTCTGCTTGTCTTTATTACTTTACTTATGAAGCCTCTATTCCACACCCTCGCTAAACTATTTCTTTCTCTACACCAGTATTTCTCCATATATCTCCCTTGATGAGGTATTTTTGTTTGACTATCCTTTCTTACTCTATCCCAAAGTGAAACGTAACTATCATTTTCCTACTCCACCCTTTCTCTTCTTTAATCTCCTCCTCGGTCTCCTGTTTTGCCCTCAGTTACCTCTCTCTTTTCCTTCTTTCTCTCTCTCCCACTTCCCACCTCCTGTCCTTTCTTTTGTCTCTCTCACTCCCTCTCGTAGCTGAACAAAGACTCTTTGAGGAAACAGCCTGGTGCTTTGCAACAAGCTGTGTTGCTGACTGTCCACCATATTTTATGAGAATCATGTTTGAGTTTAGCTTGAGTTTGCTCACGTTCCAGTTTGAGTCTGTTATTTAAAAAGTGATTAAATTAAATGAGGGTCTAGAGCTGCAAGAAGACAACAAGGCATACACACATTTGTATTTGAATACGAAATGATCAAACAACCATCAAACTTAAAATGACAAGCAGGGCTTGCTAACCCGCTTTCTCACTTACAGCGTCTGTATCCACGAAACATACCACTAAGGACTCAATCCCCCTGCAGTGTCATCTTCATTTCACCTTCTATTTAATGGTGTTTATTATATCACATGTGACAGAGAAATATTCCATGGCATTCAGCTGATGATAAGCCAAACTATAAAATTCACTTGTGAAAAAAAGATGTGAGCTTTGCATGACAACAAAGAGAAGATCTGAAATGCAAAGCAGATCAAACAGGCATCAGTTCATTATATATATATCTCCGATTGAGCTTCTAGCATTTCTTCCTATCCTTTAGTCTGTTATCTAAAGTTTTTGTCCATATAAAAGGTTTTCAAAGTTATAAATGCCAGACTCCTCTCTTATGTTACTTATCTACATCATCATATAAAAAGCCCTCAAACCAAGAATAACCATTTGCCTCCTGGAGGAGCCAGCAACCTTTAGCCAGAGCTGCTTTATTGCTGGTCAGCACAATTTTTAGTTTTGATGACCATATCCTGTTTGCAAATCAGTTATAAGAACATGTGCCTAACATGGTTTAAAATGTTTACAGTTTCTCAGGGATCCTGGATTTGTTTGAATGTTTAGTGTTAGCACTATGTTCACCTAATGCAAATAGACCGGCACTTATATATATATGTATGCTAACTGAGCACTCACAGCCCCTTTTTTTCTACAAGCCCCTAATCACACACATGTACTTTATCTAAGCATCTTTTTATAACATTCAAATTAACACTCAATTCAGTATCTTGCCCACACAGACTGGATGACTGTCCACAGCCACCACAAGACATAGGCTACTGTTCCATCTCTTTGCCTTTCTCCTAAGCTCGGTATTTTCATGCAGCCAAATTCAGAAAAAAATAACTCAAAATTACAGTTTTTCCACTTCTTTTTTTTTTAAGTCAACAGAACAAGTATGAAAGAATAGCACTAATGAAACTTATTCAAACTAATGTAAACTAGCTCTCACTTTGAAGAGAGTCGCTGATTTGTTGCACTGCTAAAATCCTCATGAGATTCATCTTTCAAATCCACGATGTACTAATGTGCCACCAACTGTTTTCTGTAAAGTACTTGGTGACTCCTGTCTATAAAAAGCATCAATATTGTTTTGAAATAGGAATATAACTATTGATTGCTTATTTGCATATGGAAACTTTAAAAACCTTTGAAAACTGTCTGGCTTGTACCAGACTAGTGTGACGGCTTTAAAATTGACACCCTCATAAAAAGAAATGTTGCATTTCAATGAAGCAGGTGGCCTTTAAAAATACCATTTGTCACCTCATCTGTGCACTTCAGCCATTGATCTTTTGTGCAGCATCATCACATTTCACTGCTATCAGCAACGTCTGAACTGCACAATCAACTCTAGCTATCAACTGTATGGCTGCTTTTTGACTGCAGGGGACAATTCAAACACAGCAGGAGGCAGATTTACCTCCAACAAGCTTGAAAAAGGGCTTTAATTCCTGCTTGAGCAAAAGCCAAATGACACATGAAACTGCCCCATGACAGCAGACGAAGAAGAGCAACAAACTAATGCAGTGCCCCAGAATCTAGGGCACTACTGGGGGCTGGGCAGTGAGTGTTCCATGGTCTGGTGGTTCCATAGCTTTTACAAACTTCAACAATGGCCTGCATTCAGTGTAACTGTAGTTCGGAGGCTGGGACAGTCCCCTTACAGCCCCTCCCTCTTTTAACACTGCCGGAAATGTCTCTTTATTGTCCAGCCTCAGTAAGAAAATGATCATTCTAGTCACTGTAATAACTACAGTGATCATTTTAGTTCACACACATCGATAGACAATGGCAGCGTAATCAGCACATGTGCATAATTAAATATTCTGAGTGC